GAGCTGAAAGGCAGGGCAGCGAGGCCTGCAGGCCCCCCCTCAGAGCATTCACAGCCCTCAATGACTACTCACTGAACTTGAGGACAAAGACCTTTTCTCGCAGGCAGCTTCCTGCCTCCATGTCTAGACATTCTGTAAGCGGTCTCCTGGTTACAGGGGTCCTGTGCTCCAGCCTCCCACGCCTGCACCCACCTCCTCTCCTTAGTCAGAGGACGAATGTTGGTAGACGCAGCTCCCGTGCTGTGGGATCCAGGGAATCTGGAGTCTAAAATCCGGGTCCCAAGATGAATCCTGAATCCTGAAAGGAGTTTGACGAGGAGGACAAGGATGGTTAGAAATTGAGCTTGAGGATCCTTTACCCTGGCTGATGGCACAATATGTAAAGCTGCACCGCCTAGTGCCATTGCCTCTAGACACATGTGGCTAATCAATTTAAAAATTACACGTCACATAAAATTTACCATCTAAACGGTTTTTAAGTATATTCATATTGTTGTACAATTAATTTGTAGAATTTTTTTTCTTGCAAAACTGAAATTTTAAATCCATAAAATATCTCCCCCTCCCACCTTTCTCCCCCAGTCCCTGGTAATTACCATCCTACTTTCTGTCCCTGTGAATTTGCCTACCCTGGGAACCTCATGTAAGTGAAATTACACAGTGTTTGCATTTTTGCGATTGGCTTATTCCACTTAGCATGACGTACAGATAAACGTACTTTAACATTTTCTTAACAAGTGCTTTGTAGGAAATGGCTGTCGGTTTGGCCATCTATGGGAGTTCAATTGGAGTGTTTCATTAATTGGAACTGTTAGTTTACTGCCAACCTGGCAAGAATCCTAATGGGTATTTAGCACAAAGAAGCCTTAGTGAGTAGAATAAGCCCATTGCTTTTAAAGAATTTTGCTTGAAACCCACAGTGAAAGAGAAATATTGTATTTCAACCCAGTATATCACACTTATATTTTGATACCCGAACATAAAGTTTCTTGTACCAACACTTAATCCTTACTATGTGAAACCATATATTCTTTTTAAAAATTTCTCTTAAAAAAAAATGCTGATCTTATCCACTAAATTGAAATCTTACCCACTCAGATGATTTCATAACCCAAGAAAAGGCCACAACATACCGTTTGGAAAACGCTGCTTTTGACACACCTGGGTTCAGTTCCGAGCCTCTAGTGTAACACCCACCCCAACCTCTGGGCCCCCAGAATTACTCCTCAAAACAAACAAGTTAAAAACAAAGCCATCAGGCATGGCTTCACTTCTGGTTTTAATGCTGGTTTAAGTAGAAGTAGTTACAATTGAAAATTCATTCTTTAATGGTTGTACTCTGTTTCTCGAAGCCAAATAGAAATGATGAAAACATTTTATGCAGTACATTTTATATGGACGGGAGCACATTTTGCCATGAGAGTAAGTGGAGGACTTCACACGTAAGTCCTTCTGGGATCGTGGGGAAGAGCAGTATGAAAATCTTCATTCTGGTTTTATTGGGAAGCTGTAACACTGCTCTGGTTAATAGGCATCCTACTACCCACCTGTGACTATTTAATTAAACTAATTAAAGTTTGTAATACAATTAAAAATTCCATTTCTCAATCACAGTGACCACTTCAGTAGCCACCTGAGGCTTGGGGCCCATACTGGACACTGGAGACACAGCATTCCCATCACTGTAGGAAGTTCCTTGCACGGCACTGGTAGAGACTAGGGAGGAATCCAGCTAAGTCATCGCTGAGGCTCCCGTATGTAGAATGGTGATCCAGGAAAAAGAAATGGATGATAGCTTTGGCTAATTTGCCACTGGATGTGATACACAGGCTGCTGGTTCATCTTACACTTAAAAAAAGAGACAAATTTCTGCTCCCCTTTGGCATTCCCAATCATTCCCAAAATTCCGCCTCTCTGGCCCACATACCGTTGCCTACATCCCCATCATGGTGAAGTGACCCAATGGCTCAGTCACGCGGACCAAGCAGGGGTCCTGGCTGAAGAGGAGGTGCTTGGCAAAAGCCCTGTGGGTTTTATTTATTTTCTACAGACACAGCTCATCACTGCCGCCCAGGGGATCCCTGCTATTTTTAAGGATCAAATAAGGTAAGGTTTCCTCAGAGACGAGACAGCAGTACTTTTGAACTGGCCCAACAATAGGGGAGGAAGGGAAGTCATGTTACCGACGAGAGGCAAACGGGCACAGGTAAATGTGTCCTTTCTCCATCTCATCTCCTGGTCTGTTTCACTTTATTTGGCCGAGTCAGTAGTTCCTCCCACCCCCAAATTCTAGGGACCCTCTGTAAAGGCACTTTATCTTATAATTATTCTAGGTCTCTCTTGCACATACAGAGTCTTTGTTTCTCTCTCCCCCCTCCCCCGCCCCCCTGAAGTCTGAAGATAATGCAGTTTTTGTGAACATGGGAAAGGTTAAGGGGAGAAAGAACTGGAGTCTCTTTATCATTCTGCCTTTTCTTTCTCACAAAGCAGAGAGGGCCTATTTCTCTGAGCTGGGAGGGAATTATTTTCAGAGTTAGAGGCTGCCCTGAGCAACGCAGGGAGGAACTCTGACAGCCCCGCGTGTGCAAGTACAGGCTAACTTGAAGTAGCCTGGAAGTAGACGGAGCAATACGGCCCCTCACAAAGATGTTTCCAAACCTAGAATGTTGCTGACTCTGCAATTTGAAATCTGCCCTGTTATGAGTGAGGTGAGTTGGTTTTGATTGCCTTTCTCAACCGAAATTTTGAGATGCTGCTCTGTTTGAACAGTGAAAAACCAAATAAAATATCTTATACTCATGTAGCCTCCAGGGTTTGCAAAAATATGCTCCCAAGCATCATTTCATTTGACACTCCTGATCAACCTGTGGGCTGGGGCACAACATGTGCAGAAGAGAAAACCTGGGCTCAGAGAGGTAAAGTGACTTGCTCAGGGTCACACAGCTAGTGGGTAGTGGCGCTGAGTTTTGAATCCCAGCTGCTTTTCTGAGAACAGTGCTTTACTTCTCACTTATATTTTGGGTTTGTAAGATAAAATACATTTAAGTTGGGTAAATAATGACACAAATATGATAGTTGGCTCAATAGATAATAGCAGGGGGTGGGGGAAAGAGCAACTATAGTTGGGAGGCACGGGTCCTGCCCTCAGGGAGCTTTACTTGAAGAGGAAGCAGTACATGTACAAGCAACAGATGCACGTTATCCTAGAACAGACTGGATGCATTAGTGCCATGGATGCTGAGGAAATGACTGAGTTCTTTATAGACGGTTTTCTGAAAGAAGGGGGTTTTGAATCAGATTTGGACGGATATTCACGAAGACTAAGAGCAGGGCGTTCATTCTAGCCAGGGGCAGAGGCGTGGTGGGGAGAAAGAGTTGCAGAGAGTCTGGTTCCGTTTGGTGGACTATTAAGAAAGGAGAACTGGACACCTGTTCATTATTTATTGAAAATCTACCCCGCAGAAGACATTGTGTGGAGCTGGGTTTACAGTAGTATGCAAAAGAGACATGGTCCCTGCCTTCCTATTGCTTAGACTTTGGGGGTGGGGGTGGGGAGACTAAGTATTGATGGTTGATAATAAAATAGTTACCCCAATATTTTAGATTTGTTTGTATCATCTGGTGACATAAATGAGCAGAGCATTTGAGCTGGTCTGTACAGGAGCAGTAGTTAGCTCTGCAGATGGTTTTGGTGCAGGGAGCAGGGAAAGGGGTGCTCAAGAGAGAAGGCACAGCCTGTGCAAAGGCCCTGGGAGTTTGCAGGAGCTGGCAAAAGGCCAGTGTGCTAGCGTTGAGAGAGTGGAGGGGCGAGTGGCTGGAAATGAGGCTGGGGAGGCGGCATGAACTTGATCAGATTTTGGTCTTTAGCCTCAGAGCCATGGGAAACCTATCAAGAATTTTAAGTAGGGATGACATGAAAACATCTTCCTGTTAAAAAGATCACTTTGGCTGCAAGTCTGGGGTGGGGGGTGATGGTGTATAAGAGCTGTATGGAGTCATCCCTTAGGAGGCTACTGCAGTGAGCCAGGCGAGACATGGCGGGGCTTGGTGCAGGGGGTGGTCGTGGAGATGGAGAGCAGTGGTGAGTTTCCATGGAGATGTAGGAGATGGAACCTACAGGGCGTGGTGATATGGAAGGCAATGGAGAAGCAGATGGTAAGATGGTTCCTGAGGTCTTGGTGCTCTTATGGGCTGGGTTAGGAGCTGGCCACTGTGATGGATAACCTTGGACATGGACCAGCTTGGGGAAGATGATGAGATCAGGTTTGGATATCCCGTAGGCGGTTGGGAGGGGAGCTCAGAGGACTGAGCTGCAGTTAAACATGTGGGCCACTAGTGTGTAAGTGACAAGGGCAGCTCTGAACGTGGAGGACTTTTCCCAGAGATGAAAGAACATTAAAGGAGGAGAGAAGGATCAAGCAGTGAAGATGCTCCATGACCAGGTAGAAGAGAACAAGCCAGCGGGAGAGGTGGGAGGGGAGGCGGAGGTGCTGGGGTGTTCTGTCATTGAGATGGAGTAGAATTAGATAAAAAGGGCGAGTCTCTTTCCACCTAGACCCATTTCTGTCACCACCCCACAATCTATTATGCACCTCTAGATCCGAGACACTTGCGTGGGGGCACTGTGACAAGGTCTGTTGATTTCTTGTCCTGGTGCCAGGACAGACTGCAATGTGCGTGCATTTGCTGCCTGGAACAATAGCCTCCTTTCCTGTGCCCGACACCATGCGCTTTTGGCTGGCACTGCAGTTTGTTGCAGATCTGAGCTTGCTTAATCCCACGGAGCACTAAACGGTATCTGGTCTCCGTGGCTTCGTAATTCTACTCCAGGCGCCCCGCCGTCACTTGCCAGCTGGGATCTCACCGAAATGAGCCTGCTGCACACAGTTCAATACTAAACCCTTTGAGCTGGTGAACTAGGCTCCATGAACTCGCGGGTGGCGTGTCCCCCGTTCGCCCGCTCCCATCCCATCGGCCTCTGGCTTCTGCTCTCTTCTCAGGATGGCTGCAGCGCCTCCGCCTCCGAGCTGCTGTTTGGTGGCCCTTCCGCCTCATGCTAAGGACGGTCTGGTGGTGTTCGGCAAAAACTCCGCTCGGCCCCGGGATGAAGTGCAAGAGGTCGTGTATTTCCCGGCTGCGGATCACGAACCCGAGAGCAAGGTGGAGGTGAGTGACGCACTGCAGCCTCTCCATTAGCCCTCACTCTCTCTCTCTCTCTTGCTCTGCCCAGCATGCTTTCTTCCATGACGTCCGCTCACTAGTCTGAACGGTCATGTTGGCTCTGTTGATTCCATTAGGTTTGTTTATAGCCTTAAAAACAGGGTCATGCCGTAACCAGTTTGGCTCAGTGGATAGAGCATCGGCCTGTGGACTGAAGGGTCCCAGGTTCGATTCCAGTCAAGGGCACGTACCTTGGTTGCAGGCACATCCCCAGTAGGAGGTGTGCAGGAGGCAGCTGATCGATGTTTCTCTCTCATCAATGTTTCTAACTCTCTATCTCTCTCCCTTCCTCCCTGTAAAAAATCAATAAAATATATATAAAACAACAACAACAAAAAAAACCAGGGCATATGGAGAATTCTATGTTTATTGCTATGGCCCTTATTTTATGATTAAGTAAAATATTTACATGGTTTCAAAGTCAAGTCTACAGAACAAGGTACAGGCATACTTCGGAGATATTGCAGGTGTGGTTCCAGATCACCGCAATAGAGCGAGTATCATGATAAAAGTGAGATGTAATCTTTTTGCTGGTGAAATGCCTGATTTTCAATTTGTAAAAGATGCAACATCTGTTGAGTACCAGACTGATAGAGGTGGTGGTGGGGGGGAGGTAATCATTTTGTAAGCTAGATAAATGTCTAATCACTATGGGTACACCTGAAATTAATAAAATATTGTATGTCAACTGCAATTGAAAACAAAAAACAAAGCAAAGCAACATCTGTGAAGCACAATAAAACGAGTGATGCCTGTAGACTCATAGAAGTCTAGCTTCTGTTTTCCTCATTTACTTCACTTCCTGTTTCTCCTGTGGGTCACCATGTTTGGGAAGTTTTTTGGTTTATTCTTTCATTAAAACAATGACACGTATATGTAATAAATTACATGTGCCTGTCCATGCAGGCCTTTCCCTCCTTCTCAGGTGAACGGGAGCATGCCACACACAGTACACTTCTCTCCACGTTGCTTTGTTCAACTGAAACCAGATCCTGGAGATCCCTCCATATGGCATACAGAGATGTCCTCTCTTCCTCATTTAGAGCTGTTTGAGGTTCCAGTCTATGGTTGTATCAGAGTTTAATCCATCCCATTTTGCTGGAAATTTGGGTAGTTTTCCAGTGTGTTGCTATTACAGACAGTGCTGAAGTGAATAACACTTTGTCTCCCACAGGGTCTGGTCTTGGTTTATATTTTCTTGTTACGTTAAAAAAATGATCCATCAATTTCTATTTTGAGTGCTTAAGTAAAATAGTTTTGTCAGTATTTCTTTGGGATCGGTGCCTAGAAATGGGATTGCTGGGTCACGGGGTAAATAAGTATGCACTTTTATAAAATATAATCAAAGTTCCTTGAAGGTGGTCTACCATTTGGCATTCCCACCATCAATGTTTGACAATGCCTGCTTCTCCATATTCCCAGTGTGTTGTCAAACTTTTATGACGACTCCTGTATTTTGTTAATTTTATTAAAATTCTTTTATTGGCTGTGTCAGCTCTTACCATCAACTCTTTTAGTTTACCAGGCGTATGGTTATAACACCTGCAAATAGAAATGGATTGCTCTAAAATCTCCAATTATTTTCTTGTCTGATGGGCTTATCGCTTGGATTCAGTGTTAACAGTGGTGGACAGAGTGGGTCTCTAGGCCTTTAAGCCTGACCTGAGTGGGGCAGCCTCTAAACCAGCGGTTCTCAACCTGTGGGTCGCGACCCCTTTGGCGGTCGAACGACCCTTTCACAGGGGTCGCCTAAGACCATCCTGCATATCAGGTATTTACATTACGATTCATAACAGTAGCAACGTTACAGTTATGAAGTAGCAACGGAAATAATTTTATGGTTGGGTCACAACAGGAGGAACTGTACTTAAAGGGCCAGAAGGTTGAGAACCACTGCTCTAAACCTTCCCCATTAAGTAAGATGCTGGCTTTGGGTCTGAGATTCACAGAGCTTTATCATGTTAGAAAGTACACATCGATTCCTATTTTGAGTGCTTTAAAGTAAAAACACCCAAGGAATAGGTGTCACATTTTGTTAAAGGTCTTTTCAGTCACTTAGTAGCCATCCAGATTCGGGCTGTCCTGGCGTCACAGTGCTTGCGTTCATGGAACCCTTATTGTACTTAATAACGCCCCAAAGCGCCAGAGTAGTGATGCTGGCAACTCGGATAAGCTAAAGGGAGGTCGCGAAGTGCTTCCTTTAGGTGAAAAGGTGAAAGTTCTCAACTGAAGGCATTTTATCATGTCACATATCACAGGAAGAAGGGGGAGTGCAGTATGATAAGGTATGTTGAGAGAGAGACCACATTCACATAACTTAGTACAGTGTATTGTTTTAATTGTTCTATGTTACCCTTAGTATTGTTGTTAATCTTGTCCTGTGTCTAACTTATGAATTAAACTTTCTCATAGGTATATTTGTATAGGAGAAAAGATAGTATCTATACAGTTGGTACTATCAGGCATCCACTGGGGGGGTCTTAGATGTGTCCCCAGCAGATGAAGGGGGACCACTATATAAATATGTCTGAAATAACTTTAGAAAAACTTGTTTTCTTTTTGGGGGGAATAGGCTAACTACATTAATATATTAGTCTAGTGGTTACAATCATGTTAAGAAATAGGTTATTTCATTGGTTAGCCCATGGTATATTATTACTAAAATACACTGTAGGTTGAATTTTGTCCCCTTGCATAAGTCAGTGTGGTTTCATACGCCCCAGCATTAGTGTCTCAGGCACCCCTGACCTCTCTTCTGTGTCTTGAGCTGCCTCCCTATATTTCCACATCCAGACTCCGCAGGTACAATAACCTCACATGTCTGAAAGCAAATTCATTTTTCTCATCTCATTTGCTCCATGTGTTCGAACAGCTCCACTGTTTGCCTCAGAGTTTAATCTAGAAAACGATGACCCTCATTTTCCCACTCATCCCTGATGCACAGAGACAGCTGTCGCTGAGTCCTGCTGCTTCCTCTCCCGTGTCCCCTTCTCCTCCCACGGCCCCATCCCGTTCAGACCCAACCCCCTTCCATAATCTGCTTATTGGTGCCCCATCTCTTTGTCCTGGAGTCTGATCGCTGCAGGGTTACCAGAATCCCCCTCCCTCCACCCCCCAGACCACCGCTCTGTCACTGCCTTGTTTAAAAATGTTGTGCTGTGTTTATAGGATGAGAGTCTGATTTGTGTGCCCTTCAGAACTCTTCCAAGCTGGCCCCCTGCTCACTCTTCCTTTCTTTTCTCTCTTCCAAATGAATACTTATTTTTAGAGCAGTTTCAGATTTACAGAAAATTGAACAGAAAGTACAGAGAGTTCCTATATATAACCCCTCACCACTCCCACCCCACCCCCAGTTTCCCTCATTAGGAACACCTTGCCTTAGGGTGGAACATGTCTTAAAACTGATGAGCCAGGATTGCCACATTAGGGTTCACTCTTGGGGTTGTACACCTTATGGACACTTGTATAATGACACATCCCCACCATTAATTACAGGACCATACAGAATAGTTTCCCTGCCCTAAAAATCCTGTCATCCTCCCTCCCCCAGCCTTTGGCAGCCACTGATCTTTTGGTTTTGCCTCTCCTAGAATGTCATCTAGTTGGAGTCACGCAGTCTGTCGCCTTTTCAGATTGTCACTTTCATTTAGTCATATGCATTTAAGGTTCCTCTGCGTCTTTTCCAGGCTTGGTCATGCCTTTCTCTCCAGTGCTGAGTAATATTCCTCGCCTGATGCACCGTAGGTTAGCTTTCTTCACCTGCTGAAGGACGTCTTGGTTGCATCGGAGGGATGGCAGTTATGAAAGAAGTTGCCAGAGACATTTGTGTGCAGGCTTTTTGTGTGAACATAAATTTTTAACTCATTTGGGTAAAGATACTTATAAATGTAATTTTACATTTTGAATAGATAATATATTGATGTGGTTTAACGATTCAGTGATACAGAAAAGGTTTCCAGTGAGAAGTCTTACTCTCCTTTATTCTAGTCTACTCAGATTTCCTTGCTATGTAACGCTTTCTATTCAGTTCTTGGACATAAATATGAATACTTAGCCTTTTATTTTCTTCCATGAAAGTAACTTTATATACACTATTCTGAAACTTGATTTTTAAATATATAATTTTAAACTTCTAGAAAAGGTCTATAATTTGCTTTTTTGGTTTGATAACACTTTCTGAAGAGTTTCTCTATCTGTTCATGGGAATTATAATTTTTTACAGCTGACAGTAGTCCATTGAGGAGACAGTCCATCATTTATTTAATCAGTCCCCTGTGGTGGACACTGGGACTATTGGCTAGTCTAGGAAGTATAGCCATGAAGAACATTGCACGTAAGTCATTCTGTACACGTGTGGACATAGCCATGGATACACTTCCATCCAGGATCGCTGGGTCAGGGGTAAAGTTTGTAGTAATTGAACTCCACGAACGCTGTACAATTTCCTGCTTACTTTTCTATCGTCATAGTTTTCCTCTCACAGCCCACACCATCAGCCCAGCTACGCTGAGTTGCTCACCATTTCTTGAACAAACAGCACACCTATCTTTCTCTGTGCTTTTGCTTTTTCTATCCTTTGCCAGGAATGTCCTTCCTTTCCCCTCCTGTCACCCATTTGCTAGACTCCTATGCATCCTTCAAGGCCCCATCACCGAGACCCATCCTCCCTCTAGCCTGCCAATCTTCTGTGAACATGAACCGCTTTATGCCATTATAAATCAATTGAAATGTACCATCACCTGCATCTGGGGGCGGGGGGAGGGGAGGTGAGTTCAGGAGGCAGGGTCCTAGGTCCTGGGTTCCCATTTACTGAATCTTGGGTCTTTGAGACTCAGTTTCCTCACTTGCCAGCTGGAGATCACAACACCCACGGCGACAGGGCTTTTTGTGAAGCACGTGAGCTGACATGCGAAGCACTATGCAAACTCTAAGGAGAACATTGTGCC